GATAAAAAATACCTTTCCTGGAAACAGAAACATACCAATGGTAATGCATTATTCCACATGTTCCAAGTTCTTCTGCCAGACCATGTTTCCTGGGGTGCAACTCTTTTTCCATCAAGGCGAAACAGGATGAGCATATCATAACACTATTTATCATTGGCACATAATGAGAGATGTACTACAGCAAGATACGTCAGGTCTGTCTTTGAGATATTTTTTTTCTCCTGAATAATTATGGTCTTTTTTGCCTCTCTGGAAAAGTCTTCATGACAAAATTCTGTTGGAAGCAGGGCTTTTTCCTACAGAAAAACTTCATGTAACTTGATTTTGTTAATACTAACAGCAGTTCATTTAACCCTGTGAAATAAATGTGAACATAAAAATGTAAGCATCTGTGAAATCATATTCACAATTGCTCTAAACGATACTGAGTTCCTAACATTATTTATGCAGCCTTTTTTTTTTTTTTTTTTTTTAATTTAAGGGTCTTTTCTGACTTGCTACTTTAAGGCTTCACTTTTAAGTTAGTATTGATTTAACCATTTACATAACCGTAAATATTCACTATGAAAATTAGATTATTCCCATTTTTCATTATGACATTGTTTTTATTATTGAAGTCTCTTTGCATTTATATCCTAAATAAGCAAGCTTATTTAAAAAAAAAAATCCCACAGGATACCTGTTCATCTTCAGTTGGTTTAACACGAACTTTTACTGAAGAAAACAAAGCTAAAACAAGATCTATGCAGAGTGAAGTCTTGGTAACTACACTACCTTTCAGTCTTCTGGTAATGAATGATTTACACGTTCTTCACAGGATGTAAAAATAGTGAATGTACTGATAGTGTTGCTCGACAAGTGAAAGAAAATTGTCTTCTGAGGCATGAAGAAAATCTACAATTGGCCCTGTTTTTCCTACTCTGAAAAAATACATGACTTGCTCTAATATTAGTTAATAACTCTCCCATAGATAAAGAGTCAGATTGCCTAACTCACTGCAAAGAAACACTTTTGGGGGTAAGTGCCATGAGGTTTGCAATATGATTATTAATACTGATATTAATTGGGTGAACAATTATAATAGGCTACATGAAAGACGAAGGTTAAAAAGAAGTATGAACCATGGATTTAGAACTGAAAAACTACAATAAAAAGACTAATTCTAAACCGTGCTACAACAACTGAATAGTTCTGATAAAACCACTATTTAAAAATCACCAAAACCTGACACTGTATCTTTTTATTAGAATAATTAGCTGTCATATTCTTATGTTACTTTATTAAAAAATATGTTTATCTATTTTACTCTTGCTACAAAGAGTAAAAAGTTACAAGGCCTACGCAATTTCTGCGCTAAGCCCTGCAAAATGTGAAACACAAGGATAAAGAACTTAATATTGAAGTACTAGCTATCTACAGAAGTTGAGATAGCATTATGGATTTTCAAAAGCTCATCTACTCTCTATTTTTTATTCATAGATCCTTCTCTAAACAGTTTGAGATGTTAAAAATGCTGACCAGTATACTTATTTGTCCTTCCAAACCTACTTATATTCTTGTGCACCCTAAGTTATTATAAATTATATATTATGTGATACCAAGGATAAAACAGAATTTCATTTAAATTTTAAGCAAGGCTTACTGGAGAAACAAAGCACGACTTTCATTTGCTTACCCCTCCAACCTTTTAAATAATGAATTAGTTACATTAGCAAGGAGGAGCATATTTAAAACAGCTGGTACAGGCAAAGTTCAATGAGCTGTAGTGAGTTTTGCCTTACATTGTGATAGTTGTATATCTGTGTATATTAAATGCACTTAATAAGTATGTTCAAAAACTACAATTTTCATCTAATTTCAGTGGCACATCAGTGGTAAAGACAAGCTTACATTTTCATTCAATACGGGCTCCAGCTTAAAATATGGCTCATATCTAGACATGGTGCATATTTACAACTTCAACTGCATTTACTGTAATTTGTGACCACAAGGAAAATTATCTTAGATGGGAATACCAGGTATTTGCACTGCATGTCTTTATACACTACCATTTCATAAAACCGTAGCTTTGCTAATGAATTCACAATCATGGCTGCTTTTGATATTGATCATTTTAAAGTGTCACATTTGTAAAAATATGACACCTTGCTGAAAGTTTAGTGCTCTTAAACAATGACTAATGCTAGCAACAGACATCTCTCCAATTTTACATTTCATGTTCCTGTTGCAAACAAATGCTGGCCTGTGGCTTTAGAATGTAATCCATGCTCAGATATGACAGTTCTCCTAGTCCAATGGAAATCTTGTTGGGGTTCCTTTTCACTGTGGGGATTCATCCATAGCATGCTGATGCATACAAACATGCTACATGGCTTTCACTCATATTGACACAGGTTTTTTATTTGAGAACAGTAAATATTAAAAATCATGCAAGTGTTAGGTTTGCAGAAAAAGGAAAAATGCTCAGTAACAAATCCACGCCTCTGTGTTCTTATATTTTTCCAGTTATTTAAAAATGTTTTTCTAGGAGACACTGCAAGAAATGCGAGCATTAGGAGACTGTAAGAAGTACTTAAGACCAATCACTAAAATTATCAGCTGTGACAGTCAGTGTTTAAAAATTGTTGCTGTAAATTTAGAAAGATTCTTCTTAGGAAAATTGAAGGACTTCTGGGAAAAAAATAAATTTCGATTTGAATTTTTTTACTGTTTTTATGGGCCTAATCTAACCAGACTAGAAATAATTTCATGACAAGTCAATTTGAGATCTCTTACATAATTAATAAGTGGTGATAAATTATTTTTTGTCTGTATTTCCTTACCTTTGGCATTTATTCTATTTGTATCTTTCTATATCCTTCTTTCCTTCCTTTCCTAGAGAGTTTACCAGGAAATGTGTCAAAGAAATCACCTTCAACATGACAGGTACTGAACAGTACAGGAAAACTAATGAAAAACAACAGCCTTAAGTTGTTTGTTCGAAATAAACCAAATCACTAGTCCAGCTAGTGACAGACATTTGAGTATCAGCCTTTGATCAGTGTATCTGGTTTGACGTTTAGCTCAGCTGCTCAATGAATAGTGAAAGGTCATAAACACAATCCTGTTAAGAAGAAGTACTGACAGGAACCTGACCCACCTAAAAGCTTGTCCAGAGCTTTCAGTTTGCCCCTAGATCTCAGGTAATAGGAGAGCTATGGGAGTTAACTATGATATTACAAAGAAATAGGTACTGACAAACAGAAACAACATTTTGCTTCTAAATTTCAAACCTGATGTTGCTACTGGTAGCTTTTTAAATAAAGCAAGAAAAAACAGTAGAACAACTACTGTTTTCCATAAAACAAAGCTATCTAGTATCTTAACATAATAGCTGATTCAAATTTAGATCTTATGCATATGACCATTATCACATCAGTACACTTCAAATACCAGAAAGTCCCATTTTTGCCAAGCTCAGGCTCAAAAGTAGGAGAAAGTTAAAGAAACACGCTGTTCGAAAAACACTTCAACCCAAACATCCTCAGAAGCACCCAGACATTTACAGAATTATTTGATGTCAAGTTTCCTCTTTTGAACTTTCACTCATCGCTAGTTTATAGAACATTTCAGTATAACAAATCACACTGCAAATTAATGTGCTGCCTCTATCATTTAATACAAAAAGGTGAGTTTTTGAAAGTGCCAAAAGTTAGCATTTCTGCCCTGCTCTACGAAGAGTTGGCACAAAGAGAACCAGTTAGACAGCTAATACACAATGATCAGAGAAGAAAAGATTACTCTGTAATAAAGCACCAAATTTTATACAGTCTAATCCTGTATTAATAGGTATACCTCAAGGCACTTTATTCCATCTAACCCAATATTACTGTAGACTAGAGTAAGAGGGTTTCAAAGTCATACACCCAAGTCATAAAAGAAAGTGATGTCTTTCTCCAAACTAAAAGACATGATACAAGCATCAGCTCTAGTGATGGACATAAAATTGCTGACAGAGCCTCTGGATTGGACAAAGGAAATTAGTTTAATATAGAAACTAGGAACATATGCAGAAAAAGTCAGGAGAAAGCTGAGGGAGGATGGGGGCGTAACCTAACAACAGAGAGACAAGTATCAAGAAGCCAAACATTAGAAAAGACAGAAACCCATACTTTTTGTGACAAAATGAGACCTGAACAACCTCAGTTAACCATAATCTTAATCTATATTAGATTCTTATGAGACAGATTTATCCCCTTGTCTCTGAAACTAAAAGCGCTCCGACTGGCTGATCCCAGGGTGACTCTGCGTTCCAGTACCTCACGGCAATCCAGCACAGCTGCTCGCTCTCACTGGAAGGACTCGCTTGCTTGTTTCCTTCTAAAGGACAGAAGAAATGCGCTTATCTGGTGTGCCTGCCTTAACACCAGTCGAACACTACCCAACCCTCGCTAACCCTCGGCCAACCCCCCCGCGACTGGCTGCTAGGGGCGATACGTGCCACCCTGCAGAGAACCCACCACAGCGACCGGGGACCACCCGTGCAGCGGCAGCCAGTCACCAGGCGCGGCGGGAACTTGAGCCAATCGGAACCGGGTATTCCCTCTCTGCACCTATGACTGACAGGAGCGGTGGGGGCTGCAGGAGAGAGTCATCAGAGACACCGTGGGAAGTGGTAGGAGCGCTTCAGGGCTCTAATGGCAACGAGGAGGGGACCAGCCGGTGCGGCTGGAAGCCCTGCCCAGACTTTCCCCACCTCCTTCCGCATCTTATCACCTGCCTTCAACCCCCTACACCGCGGGGCAGGGACACTGTGTGAGGAACTCCTACCCAGACACACCCGACTTCCCTTGGAGGCTGTCACATGTCCCCTGCTGGGGGCTGTGTCGTTAAATACATCACCTGTGACTAACAGCACTTTCACATCCAAGCCCAGTTAGTCCTCACGCTGGGGGTTTGGTTTCAAACAGCACAGTTTGGCTCTAGGCCTGTGAGTGAGAAGTGCTCCTGTCATCAGCCGCTCAGGCTGGTGTCTGGTAGCAGCCCCCAGCCAATGTGCAGAGTTTTGTCCCTCCGAGCCCAGAGCCGCAGCGCCTGGAAGTCCAGAAGGTCATGGAGCCGGATGGGTCATGTTCCCCAATGGGGAATTCCAACGTCCCCGGGTTCTGAGTCACTAAATGGAGGCACTGCAGGAATTTATCTGAGGACAAAAAATAACACAGCGGTGCAGATCTTTGTATTTGATACACGTCCTCTGTGCTGGAAACTAAACCTTGGTGCTCTTTTCACTGTTTCTGCACCTACAGTCTTGCATTACCACAACTTAATGTAAGAGCACATGGCTGTCTGATAGCGCGCACCTGAAGCTGATTCATACACTAAGAACTTGGAAGAGTCTGTTTAGCAGAGTCACCTAGTGACAGCTGCATTCACAAGGAAAAAAATCATAGCAGTTTCTGATTGCAAGAGAATTTCTGTAATGAATACTTATGGTCTCAGACTGGTTTGTTATAGGAATTGATACTTTCTGGGAAAGGCACAAATTATGTCCAACAGTCTAATTCACTTGTTATGTAACAGGATTTATAAATAAGTTGCCAAAAGTCAAATACAAGTACTCTTTTGAAAACCAAATTATTTAATTGAAAAATCAATAAGAGTTTACTTTTGAGGCTTCTTCTAAAAGTCTCGGGTCAATTAAAATATTAATGAAGAGGCCATAGAACGGGACACAAAAGTTAATACTGAGATACATTTTCATTAGGTAAGAGTTGCCACCATTTTAAAGGTATAGTTTACTGGAAGGAAGAGTGAGAAAAGGGAAATGTAACATTAAAGACAGACTAGAAAAACTGAGTGATAGCATTATGACCAAACTCCCACCATCTTTAGGAACTTTTTCCAGTCTCAAATTTTTCCTCTCTTCTTTTGTGTTTGTCTTTGTCTTAAAAATCAGAACATAGTTTTAACAGCAGCAGCAGCTCCCAACTTAAATAATCTCTTGCTTTTTCCTGAAAAATGCAAGTTAATTCTAGATTTATTAGTGTATTAAAGGACTATTAAGAGGGAATTTCCATTATTAAACTTTTATACAGACAAGAGACAAGGGAATAGGAGTATTCTTACAATAAAAACCTACCTTAACACTTTACATGCAAATGTCAAGAACTGTCTTCCCCTCTGTATCTGTTTTCCTAATACATAGTTAAATTAATTTTAATTAACTTAGGACAAAGCAATAAAACCATCACTAATGTGTGCTGTATTTAGACTACACTGTGAGCTTAGGGAAGTTATGCTTTAAGAAATTATGACTTTGGATTTTATGGCTCTCTCTATATTTGGTATAGTAGAGGTTAACAACTCTTTACCTGTTAGCTCATCTTTCATATGAGAGAAAGAAAGATTTTCCTCTCTGTTTGATAGCAGCAAATTTAAAGACTTTCATTGTAATCTTGTCAGGCTGTAAAAATATTTAATCTTAGCTATAATTTTTTCTGTCTCATTCCCACTCCGTGGGAGAGCTTGATCTTATTAAGGGCAATCTTTTGTAATTTGCATGTTGTGGGCCTTCCTGGAGTTTGCCTCTTATTACTCTAATGAAGTTCTATTTTTTAATATCGAGGGTGCTTGCCTACAGGGCTTCAGGAGGCTCTACACCTTTTTATGGTATTGCAAGCACCATACCAACTACCCGTATTTATTATATCTATTACAATTTATGATGCTGGTGCATGGTTAGGGCTTTTCTTAATTCTCAGGATTTTAGCAGCATATTGATGAGACAGGCAATCTCATCAACAAACCACAAGAAGATTATTTGTGTCTGAAATTTGTCTACAAATGTGACAAATTACATTTCTTCTTTTCCTATCTGTGTAAATGCAGTCATGTCATCATTACGCCACTGACTATCTTTCTTTTTCTTTATTCCCCCTCATTCTCTCTTTACCATTGATGTTGCATCCTCTTCTTCTACTCATGGAATCCCACCCAGGCCCTGGCAGGAACTGAATGGAGGTGTGGATTTGTGTACCCATAGCAGCTAATAGGGTGATAGCGGGGGATAATATAAGCCAAGAGAAAAAAAAAAAAAAAAAAAAGTCTGATGTGGACAGGAATGTGGACCCTGGAGGGCTGTACTGACTTAGGGAGCTTTAAATGGAGGAAAGCAGTAGCAAAATAAGATAGGAAGGTCAGGGAACTGAAGATTCAGAGCAATGAGAGGATGAAAGGACATAACCTCTAACTAAGCAATCTTTATTAGCATTTGTAGATCTTTAGCAAATCTAATTTTGATCATCCCCTGTTAATGGGTCAAATTGTGAATTGAGGGATGCTGTGGAGAAGTGGCCTTTCTGAAAGTTGGAAGAAAAAGGCTGCAAGAGCACAGTGAGAACTCTGGACTTAGGAGACTGCCATAGTGTATTTCCCACCAGCCATCTCAGGCACATAAATTTAAGATCATGGTTTTCACAACACACATGCAAGATCCCCGTTCTCCCTTTTTCACCCACAGTATCATCTTTTCTTGTTCCTGAGGTACAGCAATGCTGTGTGAAATATTTTTAAGATGTTAATATCTGGAAAATATAAACATGTATGCATAAACACTCAATTTGGATAAACAAAGAGAAAACAGAAAATTAGTTCTCTCAATGCAGTCTCCAGTAGAAGTTATCCAAAGAATAGATTGCCATTAAATATTATTATCACTAACTACTAGTTTTTCAGGAATTCCATAAAATTTTCTGCTTCATAATTTTCAAAGCATAGTAACCAATATCAGGGTCCTTCTTCGACAAAACTTTGGTATGCATTGTTTGCTGGAACTTGTTCCACTCCTTTGTAACTATATAGTTTCAAAATAATGTTTTAAATCAGAGGAAGAATGGGGCAAAGAGGGCATTTTTGCATGTACAGCATAGTTTTTCTTAAAATATTTTATTAAAGCTATTGAGATACAACAGAGCAGACATCTCTCTGTCATCTAAAAATATTCGATTTCAAATTCTTTTGTCTTCATTTATGTTTCTAAATTCTATGTTTGGATATTTCACTGATTATATGCCCAGAGGAAAGTAAAACTGTTGATGCAACAACATATTATTTAATTTAACTTTTGATATTAAATCAATATTATACTGGGCATAGTTATTTTTTTATTTCTTTCCTCTAAAAGAGAAATCTAGTATTTTCATTTTAGAAGTGCAGTATTAGTGTACAAGCATGTCTTAAAAGGCCCAAAGCTCTTAGCTCTCTGCTTATAAAGTGAAAACCGAGTAAGTTGAGTCCCATACTGGATTCTTCCACTCCTGAGGCAGAAGCTTAATATATTAAGGCTTAATATATTAAGTATATTTTATACTGCTGACCCAGACTCAAGGCTGAGCTCTCTAAAAAGGTAAGCATACAACTGGGACCCTGTAAAAGGCAAGTGTCAGAATTTTTTCTTGGCTTTCACTTGCCATCAAAGTGGAGTCAATTTACTCCAGCATGGAAAGTGTGTAACTTACATTCCCATTAGTAACAACTCACAGCCAGCATAGGCCTAAAGAAGGTATAGACATGCTGTTGTAATCATAAGATGAATGAGTTACTGTTGCAAAATTTTATACCAAGAGGATAAGGTATAGGTAAGGATAGACAGGTAGAAATTCAAGGAGGAAACTTAGTGGGAAAAAATTGGACCAGCTTCTTTGAATCAGATGTTTTAAAAAGTAACTGCATAGTTGCAGAGTTGCTTAAAATGCAAATGTACATAATTTATTTTTCTCCAATTAAATGTTTCGGAAAAGCGTATAAAGAGCTAGAAAATATCACTGCTTAAAAATGCTGAACACTGAAAGTTATTTTAAAAATAAAAATGGTATCAAGAATTGCTCCTGATCTTATTTTCATTTGCATAATATGTGTATAATCTTCTGAAAGATAATACAGCAGAAGAAAACAAAGCAGAGCTCTGTAACACACTGTATGTTGAGAAATAATGAGATAATGAAGTGCACCAGAGCATCTTGCTGTTTCGGTATTTCATTAAACATGCATACTGTGAACAAGAATATTTGTTTACTGATATGTATGGAGAAAGCCAGCATAAGCACTATTCTGGGTTAGTTGCCACCATTGTACTCAATAATAGATGAGGAAGGAGGTCTCAATTTTATAAGGCAAACAGGATGTTGCTTATTTAGAATACAAACCCTTAATTCATCATGAATAACTTCTTCATTGGAAAATGAAGATGAGAAGTATACTGGTAACTTTATCTAAAATTTGAAAAATCTAAGGTTTTTAAATTAATAAAATATTTTTTTTTTCAGAATGGCCATTCTGTTAGTAAGCAACTACAGAATAATAAAAAGTAACAGTACACATGTGCACAAAGAATCTTTGTAGGAGACGATGACTTTGTGCTCATTTTTCCAGAAATATATCAAGCTTCCTTCTGTGTACTCCTTTCCTCATGAAAGCACAAATATGTTTAGGAGAAGGAAGAAAGAAGCTCATTTGCCATCTAAATGCCTAAAAAGCCAAAATGAGAGGGACTTACATTGGTATGAATAAATTGTGACATTACACAGGACAATACAGAATTGAATTTTAAAGATTCTATAGGTAAGGATAAAGCAGTGCTATACATTAGGGGTATGTGACCAAAACAAGAACCAAGTCTAGAATTAGGGTCAAGAAGTGTGACAATTGCCAGGGACAGGATGAGAGAGGAGATGGCTATTGTTATTCCAAGCAAAACCAGTGTGAAATAACAAAAAAGATAAATCTAGACTAATTCGTTCCTCTTCTTTTTCTTCTCTCAACACAATTCAGTCAGAGAAAACCCTGATTTCTAGTAGTAAAATGGTAAATAAAATTGGGTAACCCAGGGGCAGTGCAGACAAGGGTAGAGGAGATGCAGCTTCTTGAGTTATCTTGCAGGAATAGGTTTCACATTTTTGGGGGAGGGGAAAAGCTCATAATCTACCTGCTAAATTCACTTCTGCATATATATGTGGTTTTAGTGCTACAGATAAGACAATCACATAATGACTTAGGATGACAAAAGAGTTTCTTCGCTTTTTTAATACAGTGAACCTAGAAGAGGGAGAGAGTATCTCTAAGCATTCAAATGTATCAATTACTAGTGACTCTATTAAAAAAAAATTGTAGCTTCAATCTCACTGATAATTAAAATTAATTTTT